GGTGTTTTTGATTTTCGCCATTCTGACAGGTGTAAGATGGTATCTTAAAGTTGTCTTGATTTGCATTTCCCTGATCGCTAAGGAAGTTGAGCATGACCTTAGGTGTCTTTTGGCCATTTGAACTTCTTCTGTTGAGAGATCTCTGTTCAACTCAGTGCCCCATTTTATAATTGGGTTGATTAGCCTTTTACGGTCTAGTTTCTTGAGTTCTTTATATATTTTGGAGATCAGACCTTTGTCAGTTGTGGGGTTGGTGAAGATCTTCTCCCAGTCAGTGGGTTGCCTTTCTGTCTTAGCAACAGTGTCCTTTGCTTTACAGAAGCTTCTCAGTCTCAGGAGGTCCCATTTATTCAATGAGGCCCTTACTGTCTGTGCTGCTGGGGTTATACGTAGGAAGTGGTCTCCTGTGCCCACGTGTTGTAGAGTACTTCCCACTTTCTCTTCTATCAGGTTCAGTGTGTTCGGACTGATATTGAGGTCTTTAATCCACTTGGACTTGAGTTTTGTGCATGGTGATAGATATGGATCTATTTTCATTCTTCTACAGATTGACATCCAGTTTTGCCAGCACAATTTGTTGAAGATGCTCTCTTTTTTCCATTGTATACTTTTAGCTCCTTTATAGAAAATCAGGTGTTCATAGGTTTGTGGGTTAAAGTCAGGGTCTTCTATTCGATTCTATTGGTAGACTTCTTTGTTTTTATGCCAATACCAAGCTGTTTTCAATACTGTAGCTCTGTAATAGCGTTTGAAGTCAGGGATGGTAATGCCTCCAGAAGTTCCTTTATTGTATAAGATTCTTTTGGCTATCCTGGGTTTTTTGTTTTTCCATATAAAGTTGATTATTGTCTTCTCCAGATCTGTGAAGAATTTTGATGGGATTTTGATGGGGATTGCACTGAATATTGAATATTGAATATTGCTTTTGGTAGAATTGCCATTTTTACTATGTTGATCCTCCCAATCCAAGAGCAAGGGAGATCCTTCCATATTCTGGTGTCCTCTTCTATTTCTTTCTTCAAAGTCTTAAAGTTCTTGTCAAATAGATCTTTCACTTCCTTGGTCAGGGTTACCCCAAGATATTCTATGCTCTTTGTGGCTATCGTGAAATTGTTTTTGTTTTTTTTGAGACAGGGTTTCTCTGTAGCTTTGGTGCCTGTCCCGGAACTAGCTCTTTGTAGACCAGGCTGGCCTCGAACTCCCAGAGATCCGCCTGCCTCTGCCTCCCGAGTGCTGGGATTAAAGGCATGCGCCATTCTGAATGAGGTAACCCAGACCCAGAAAAATAAACATTTTATATACTCACTCATGAGTGGATATTAGATGTAAAGCAAAGGATAACCAGTCTGTAGTCCACAACCCCAGAGAAGCTGGGTAACAAGGAGGACCCTAAGAAAGACATACATGGATCCCCCTGGGAAGGGGAAATAGACAAGTTCTCCTCAGAAAATGGGGAGTGTGCAGGGTGTGTTTGGGGGGGGGGGAGTTGACAAGGAAGGGTGAAAAGGGAGGAGAAGGGGAGAAGGGGAAGGGGGGGGGAAGGAAAACAGGATGGTGGAGACTGGTGAAGGGCAGAGAGGGAGAGCAATGAAAAAGATATCTTGATTGTGGGAGCCATTATGGGGTTAGCATGAAACCTGGCACCAGGCAAATTCCCAGGAATCCACAAGGATGACCCGAGCCAAGACCCTAAGTAATAGTGGAGATGGTGCCTGAACAGGCCTTTGACTGTAATCTGTAATCAGATTGATGAATACCTGAGTATTCTATAACCTTCAACCAGCAACTGATGAAAGAAGAAAAAGGAGACGAGTCAAAGAGAAGGCGGAGCAATAATATGAGCAAAGGGGTTCAACACCATAATGGGGATACAAAGAGAAACAGCTGACCTGAGCTAGAGGGAGCTCACTGACTCTGGACTGATAGTAGGGGAACCTATATAGTAACAAACTAGGTCCTGTGAATGTGGGTGACAGTTGTTTGGATTGGGAAGTCTGTGGGGCCACTAGCTTTGGCTGTGGGACCAAGATTTATCCCTAGTGCTTGAACTGGTCTTTTGGAGCCCACTCTTTTTGCCAGGATACCTTGCTCAGCCTAAATATGGGAGGAGGGCATTGGTTCTGCCTCATGTCAGACTTTGTTGATTCACCATGGGAATCTTTACCCAGTCTGATAGGGATGGGGTGGGGGAAAGATGAAGGGAGCAGGAGGAGGGGAGAAAGTAGTATCTGGCATAGGTATGTAAAATGAGAAAAAACACTTTAAAAAAATAATTAATTAAAGAAAGAAAGAAAGAAAGAAAGAAAGGAAGGAAGGAAGGAAGGAAGGAAGGAAGGAAGAAAGGAAGAAAGGAAGAAAGGAAGAAAGGAAGGAAGGAGGGAGCCACAAGCAGACAGGTTCCAACGGTACACTACAAGAAATTATAGGAAATTTCTTAAAACAACTGTGGATGCCTGCTGTGCCAAGGGTAAGAAAACTTGCACCCAGGTCATGGGTATAAGGACTTCCTTTTCTGCCAAGAAAAAATGAAGGTTTCAAGCAAAGACCCCTAGTGGACAAGCCTTGATGAGTCTTTACCTAAATGGAAGGCTCCAAGTTTGAAAACTATTTTAACAAGATTAACTCATTTTATTCCTACCATAATCTTTTGGTCAGGAAAACAATTTTAATAACCCCACTTGATAAGTAAAATAAAAGTTCAGATTTAGAACCCTACTTTAAATAGCAGGATAATCTGAAATGTTAATTTTGAAATTTTCAAAATCTCAAAATTTTACTTCCCCTCAAACTATCTTTTAAGGTAAAATCTGTGCCTGTAATAACTATAACTCATATCCTTCCTAGCTATTACATAGAAAGTTCTAACAAAAAACTTAATCATTCCACTAGCAGATGAAATGCACATCTCCAGAGACAAGAAAAGGAAATACTGATCAACAAGATTTCAGTTAGAAAAAACACAAGATTCCCCTCTCTTACATCATTTAATTAAGTACTTCTATTGTTTAATTTCATATTTCCTTGGAAGGGAGGCAAATTTCTCCAGGAGAAAAGAAGCAAATTCCTACCTTTAACATACCTTCTTGCTTACAGTTTCCCAGGACAGCAACAAAGCTAGCTCACTTGTCCCTGCCCTCTCTTCAATCTTTTTCAGAACTAACCAGTATGTATAATCTAACATGCTCCTTCTGGTCTAATGTTACAGGGCCAGCCTTTTCCTCTAAACAGTCAGTGCAAATAAGAACAACATATTTCTATAACTCAGAGGTGAAGAGGGAAATGGCCATAGACCTACAATGAAGTCTGCCATCACTTTTCTCATTAGAGAGCTGATTTTTTTTTTTTTTAATTTCTCAGCTTTGGGAAGAAAACTCAAGAATGTTACTCACTGATCTTCTAAAACTACAAGTAACAATCGGCAACATAGAAAACGAACTGTTTTTTCTCCCATGCTCATTAATTCTAAAACCTTCTATACAAAAACTACATATGTAAGTGATAAGATCGTTTACTATATCAAATAAATCATATTGGTTTTTTAATCACAGCAATAAGATGATCAGAAGAATACAGCAAAGGTTAAGAAGCCAGATTACTTAAGCTATAGAGATGGGAACTGTACAGATATAAGGGGAAAGAGACAAAAGGAGGAAGAGGGGAGGAGAAAAGGAGGGTGAGAGGCAAATAGTACTTGCCTTCAGGAGAGACATCAGATTTCGAATAACCCCTAGTCAGATGCTCTCATATTTCAAAAATTATTTTGGATTTTTTTTTAATTTCTGTCTGAAAATCCATTTGAAACTTGTATATACTATAAGTGTTACATCTCTGAGAGGAAAGGTATTCTGGCAGTAGAAAGATAAGGAATACCAAAGTCATATCACCCAACAAACCTAACACAAAATAATTTTTGGAAAAGGCACAAGAGGGTGTTTGTCTCTGCTTGGAAGAATAGCAGCAAAGAACTGAACTTTATATAGGATTTATATAGGATTTTGGGGGGGAGGAAGACCTCTCCAGGGTGGCCTGATCTTGAGGCAAGTTCAGAAATTGCTGTAATTCTCTGGCCTGATCTTGGGGGCAAACTCATGAATTAATGGAATTTTGTGACCTGATCGCATGCCTTTTTTTTTTTTTTTTTTTTTTCCTGTAGGGTAGAGCTTAGCCACCTGCATCTCCAGACAGAAATGGCCATTAAAACTGTAAGAGTAGTCTTGAGGGACAGGGCCCAGGCCACATGCCTCAAGGGGCTAGGTCTGGCTATCAGAGTAGTCGGGGCCTGGTCCCTCATTCATTGAGGGGCTTATATTCACCATATTAAAGCATGGCTCTGCATGTATAGCAGCTCAAGCAAAGTGCAAGAGAAATCAAGCCCTGAATAAACATGGGCCTTTCCTTTACCTGGCAGGGCAGATATTATCCTCTGCTAACATTTCTGAAAGCCCTGACTCAAGTTACCATGTGGCCAGTGTGGAGGCACAGGCTTTTAATCCTAGCATTCAGGAGGCAGAGGCAGGTGGATCTTTGTGAGTTCCAGGCCAGTCTGGTCTACATAAGGAGATCAAAGCCAAAAAGATTACATCTAAAACAACAACAGCCAAATAAATAAATGAGTAGTTTATGTATTTGTATTTCAGTTCTGTCATTATCTCATTATCCTACTTCATACAGTTGACTATCGTTTGCCATCAGGCGACAATGAAACAAAGGCAGGTCAAAAATTGGCCAAACAGTACCTGAGAAAATCTATCTGTATTTTCCCAACTGCTAATTTGAAATGTATCAATAAATGTATAGACTTTCCTGGCATCTGATGACAACTTAAAAAAAAAAAGAGGGGTGGTCATTTAGGAACTAACATGCTAACAAAGTTTTTTCCTTTTAGAAATTTTAATTCATTAGAATGGATAATCCCACATGGGGAAACAAGGCACTGTGCAAGGTAAAATAGGCTAAAAGCTGATTTAAAAACAAAAAGAAAAAAATGCTTCAGCACTTACCTCTGACCCCAAACTGAGAGAAATAATCTCATCCTCAAATGCAGAATGTGTGTCAATATGGGCAGGAATTCCTGAGATAGAAAACATGAAAATATCACTTCATCGTCTATAGTAGATTTAGACTACACACATGTAGTCTCACATAATTATGGTGAAAAGATTGTTTGGTTCTTAAGAATGTACTATAATCTCAGTTAGAGGGAAACAGAATGAATATGACTCAACAAAATTAAACTAAATATAAAACAGGATAACTCGACATCAAAGTAAAATGACATTGAGAACTGACTTTAAATAAAGTCTCAGGAGTAACTGCTTAAATAGGACACTTTCCATTCACAGTCCAGGAGGCCAATGTGGAAGACAGACACAAATCATTCTTTTCCATAAACACTGGGATTCTCAAAGACTTTGACAACAGAGGCCATTAATACACTAAATACTTAGTGTATTAATAATTAAGATACCACTTTTTCCATTCATCAGTCTGGCGAATGAGTAGAAATTGGTAAAGAAACTATAACTCAGAGAAAAGATACAAAGAAGAAAGATACATCCTACTACAGGATGTATAGACTGGTGGAAAGCCAGACAGGAAAACAAGAAATTCAAATACTTACAATAATTACACCACAGTACACATCTAAAATCCTAGCCCTGCGGGAGCTGGCAAAGGAGCAGCTCAAGTTTGAGTCAGTCTTGAGGGCTGGGAATGTAGCACAGTGACTGGGTTCCTGTCTAGCAGGTACTAAGCTGTGGCGATACTTTGTTTGTGCTATAATAACTAAGTTTGCTGGAAGATCAGAGTGCAGTTTTAGCCACTAGTTAACCACAGAGGCCAGGCATGTGGGAAAAGGAAAGAGGAAGTGATATGGCTCAATAGAGAGAAAAAGTGATAATAAGGCAAGGTACAGAAAGAAGTTCAACCCCTTTCAGCTGAAAAGTTAGCTAGTTTAAGAGGTGGCTGTTGCTTGCTCCTTTGTCTCTCTGATCTTCCAACATTTATCCCAATATCTGACTCCAGATTTTTATTATAATTCATGCTACACTAGGTCCTAAATTTAATCCTCAGCATCACAATGAAACAATAAAAAATAAAATATAAAGCATTCCATGATTAAAAAAAAAAAGTAGGACAAAAAGTGATTTCCTATGGGGTGGGGGGTGGGGGGAATCACTTAACTACAAATATCGGGTGAAAATGCTACTAATAAGCTACCTATACCTAAGATTTTCACTGACAAATACTCCTAGAATTATCTTACACATTCTAAAGCAGGAGGAGAAAAATCATCCAACCAGTTACCTTTCTTCCTTTCTGTGGCTAACTTGCTTCTTCTATTATGCATTTCTTGTTTTCCAAGCTACCAACTCCCTCTCTAGTATGTTGAGAGAGGAACAAAAACTACAAACAGCAATGTATATCCATTTAGTTATATTTTATAATGGAAGCTCCTCAAGCGATGGAGGTACAGACTACAAGTAATAAGAAGTAATACAGATACTGAATATTATCGAAGCAGTCTAAAACTTAATTTTAGATCAAATAAAAAAAACACTGAATTTTGATCTCGAAAAGTTTCATAACCTTCTTAATTCTGAAATACACAACAGGGATATTAAAGAAGAAACTGCATACAGTCAAAACACACACACACACACACACACACACACATATATATATATATATATATAGAGAGAGAGAGAGAGAGAGATAAAAGAAAATAGATAACCTAAAATGAAAGAAAATGTTTTTTCACCTACCATGCCCAGGCTCATACTGATTTATGGTCAACTGATCAGGTTTATGTTTAATGTAACCTTCTTTCAACCATTTTTCCAAAATGCTGTTGCAAATATCAGGAAGACCTAAAGTTGGTAACCAGAAAAGCAAAACACACTCAGAAACTATATATTTAACCAAAAATATAAAAGTAACATTGATACTAATCTGAGCTTTTAGTGTTGTGGTCAAAAAAAGATGACAAATCCACAGGCAAAACAAGTTAACAATAGATCTGTAAGAATATTTAAAGTTTTTACACCATTGACACAATCAAATAAAAACCAGAAAATAATAATTTTACTAATAACAAATTTGACATTTTGTAAAATGATAATAAACTTAATATACAGTGCCCTTATCCAAAAATCACTGTTTCATATATACCTTATACCAGGCTGAGAGTAATCTTATATCTTATTTTTGATGTGCTTATGTTTTGACTATGACTCATCAGATAGGCTTAGATATGGATATTTTCCATTGGAAGCATCATATCTACTCTCAAACATCCTCAGATTTTGGAGAAATTGGAATTTTATATTTTCAGATTTACAGAGACTCAACTAGAGACTTTATGTTAGAAATTAAATACTTTGTCAAATTTTAAATATCTACAAGGAACAAGGAGTATATATGTGAGAAACATGCTATAAGTGGATGATAGAGCACTACTTTTACAATACGAAGCTATTCATGTTCAACTATGTGCCTGAATAGATACACACACTTTGGATATGAACTCATTTCATGAAAAGTGAGAAGAATGTGTGTTAACCTGATTAGAGCACATGTTTCTAAAGGGAAGAAGAAGAGAATGAGGATAGACGTAAATAAGAAAACACAAACTGAGGTAATTCTAAAAAAGAAAAAAATATATGCACTCAAAAAGACAGAGAAGGAACATGCAAATCAACAAAATCAGAAGGAAAAAGTGGGACATAATAGACACCAAGGAAACCAGAAAATCATTGAAAACCTATACACCACACAACTGGAAAATCTAAAAGTGACAAATTTCTTTTTATTTATTTATTTATTAAAAATTTCCACCTCAATTCCACTCTTGGGAATATACCCAAGAGACAGACAAATTTCTTAATAATTACCATAATTAAATCAAGATCAGAACTAGAAATAGTCATTAAAAGTCTCTAAACCAAAAAAAGGCCAGGGCCAGAATTCTACCACATGTTCAAAAAAGAAGTAATACCAGTATGCCTAAAAATTATTACACAAAACAGAAAAAGAAGCAACAATGCCAAGTTTATTATGAGGCTAGTCATCCTGATACTGAAACCACACAAAGACTCAACAAAGAAGAGAATTAATGACCAATATCCCTCAACACAAAAATATTCAACAATTAGTTAATAAGAAGCCTGAGCAAACAGGTAAACCAGTTGATACTTAATATAAACTTCTGTGTGTTTTGGGGGGACTGAATGGCTACAGGACCAGGTGGGACAGAAACCGCTGTCAACACTGGGAAAAGATGGAGGAGAAACTGCAGTCAGGATGCAAAATCAATAAACAAACGAAAGAAGGAAGGAAGGAATAGAAGTAGACAAGAGCTTCGACTTCATCTGTATATTTGAACTTTTATAACTAAACCAGGCCACTTACTGAAGGAAAATGCTCTCAATTTAACCAGTCATCTCAAAAACTGACCTACAGATGACATGCACCTCAACTACTATAGATTTCTTATATATCACATCATTCTTCCCATGCCAGTACCCGCTGTGTATTAATACGTACTTACCGCCAGGTAAGGGCTTATCTTTATCCACAGTGTTGTTCTCATAGTTGAATTCATAACCAAAATGTTTAACTCTTCTGTGTTTTAAGGACTTTTGAACTGTATAAAGAAAATAAACTGCTTGAAAGAAAAGGACAGCACACTTCATATTTCACTCAACATTATAAGGAGTTGTTAGGTAATGACAGCTTCTAATTGCTAAATTTCCTGTTTTGTTTACATTACCCATTTTGTTTATATAATGTTTCATTATGCTTTAAAACACATATTAATGTGAGAGGAATATGCATATATCCTGCCACTCACAGGGTTGCTAGTTATCTGGAAAGAGGAGAAGCAGCTCTCATGGGATGTCCTATACCAGTTAGTGCCAGAGAATATCTCAGAGCAGAGAGAAAATGTTGGGATCCAGGTCAGTCTACAGCCTTCTCAGAGACCCCGATGAAACAACTAAAGGAACACTAGCTCTGTGTCCTTGCCTAGCAGCAGATCTGGCAAGGTCCAGTCTGGGGCCGAGGACAAGGCCTTGAAGGAGTCAAGGATTCAGATTCTGGGAATCTGACTTCTCCCCATTGAACAGACTACAGACTATATTTATCAGTCCCAGTCCTGAGTGCTTAGCCTGTGACACATGAGTCAAGTCAAGAAGTAAACAAGATTTTAAACAGCGGAAGATCTGATAAAAGCTATGTTAATATTACTCAGACTAGAGTTTAGAACAGGTCATTAAAATAAATGTTATATATAATACTGTTGTTAAGAACTATTAGTGTGGCTTGCCTACTACCATGTCCAAGCTACTTTCAGTGATCTTGGGGAAACAGTAAAATGCCAATAAACCTATGGTGTACAATGAAAGCTAGAGCAGAAACAGGATATTTTCCAAAAATCTAATTTATGGACCTTGTAGTTTTACTTACAATTCTGATTGTCTGTGTCTCCTGTCCAATTAACACTTTCCAAAAGCATTTTCTCATCGTCAGAAGAAATAATTTCTTCTACCACCAAGAGGCCAGGAGGCAAGGCTTGAAGCCCCAACTTTTTCCACTGTGCTACAGGAAAACGAATTAAAATACTCATATACAAAATCTGAACTCCTGGAAGAAATAAATTCTGCACCAATGTCACAGTTTGCAAAGCTCTAAATCACCATTTTCAGAAGAATGCTGAAGGCCCACAGAAAGGGCAAAAGCAAAGATCAAGATCAGAGTTGTACTGTAATGTACTCTTTATAGTTCATTTTAACAAAGAATGGCACTCAAGTCTTCTGTTTGCACATGACTGAGTCACTTTGTAAACTTCATTTGAAGACAAGGCTTTTCATATAGTTATAAACTGCTATTAAAAAATGTCAAGGGTAAAACAATACAAAATGGGGATGGAAACCACAAGATCAATTCATTTAATACAGAAAAGGCTTTAACAAAGTTCAACATTCCTTTATGATACAATCTCTGAAGAACTAGAAAGTACCATACCCCAATATATAAAGACTATATTTAACAAACATATGGACAATTATGCTAAACAGAGAAAAACTGAATATATTTCCTCTAATATCAACAGCAATGAGACAAGGGTGACCTCTCTCCACTAGGATTCAATACAGGGTTTGAAGTCTTAGCTAGATCAATAAGAAGAAGAAATAGAAGGGGTTCACCTACAAAAAGAATCTATAATTGTGTCTAACATCCTTATCCAACAGAAAATATTAAAATTCTTTTGGGCATATAACCAGGAGCAAGATAGCTGGAACATATGAAAACTCTATTTCAAACTGTCCACATTCTTACCAGCAGTGAGTAGGGGCTCCTCTCTTTCTGCATCAGCCTTTGACCCCAACAGGCACAACACAAGCAAACACACCAGCATATATACATGTATATATATATACACACACACACACCAGCATATACATGTGTACACATACATACACACAGACCACCACCCTCCCACATACAAAGAGTAATTGATAGAACTCCGTAAGAAGAAAACTCAACACAAAAAAAGTAAGTAACTTCAAGGTACCTTTTTCCACATAATTCAAGTACAGAATGATCTTCTGTCCCAAATCATCAATGATTTCTTTTCCATTGAGGTTAGCATATGCTTTCCTGGATTCTTCGATAGTTTTGTATATTACAAATGCATAAGGTTTATTAGGTGGCATTAAGAGAGCTTCCATGGGTCCAGAATTCTCTAATGCCAAAAGCAGCTGCTTCCTGCTCACACCATTACCAAGACCACCATTGGCAACAACCAGGCTCTTAAAAAAGAAGGGGGGGGGGGGGGTAGTGAGGTAAGTAAAAAGCAATTGATATGACCTATTTATTTGAAAATAAAATAAAATCATGATTTCAGAATACTGTAATTAATTTTTTTCCTTTGGTTATTTGGTTTGCTAGCTTCATACAAAGTATATAAACCAATTTACTGAATATTTTGGAGGAAGTTTTCCTATGCTATACACATTTTATTGTTAAATAGTTTGCAATGGTGACATATTCATTTCTTCATAACCAGAAATGAAGGTTAAAATCTAACTTCCTAATATGTTTAGAAATACAAATCAACATAATAAAAAAGAAGGAATGAAGGCTAGAGAGAAAACATGCAATCAGCAGTCATATGATATATTTTACCAAAGAATAAATGATTTATATTTTTGACGTATTTAAAGCTAATTAGCATAATCTTTAAAACAAAGTAAACTTATTGGGTAATATGAGACACACTTTACAGAGCAAGAAACTATTGAGCAGAAAAGGGAGTGAGGGAGCACTTTGGGTCTTCTGGAACCCATACTTCAAATATAATTATTCCACCATGTTTACCAGAAAGTAAAACTGAGGAACTGGACCAACGAAAATTTAATTGCATGTTCAGAAACCATGAGAAGTTTCCTGCTCAAATAAATTAATTCAGTCAAAGTAATTTAGTCAGATTGCAAGTAAACTTTTTACCTTTATAAATTTCAAGATTACTTCCTGTCACTTTGCAGACTTTAGTCATGGGATGTGAGGGAATGAGGAAATTCTTGTTTCCTTATTTTGAGGTTTATAGTCTAGTACCCTTATATTTTCTACACTTAAAACCCGCCTTATATGGTGTTAACAAATTTATCACCTATTATTTCTGAATCTTATTTTAGTGTGTGTGTCTGTGTGTATGGAAGGAAGGAGATGTATGTGGGAGTGTCTGTGTCAGTGTGCAGGTGCCATAGCACCCATGTTTAGACTAAAGGACAACTTTCTAGAGTTATTTCTCTCCTTCTACATCATCAGGTTCAAGGACAGAACTCAGGTTGTTAGGTTTGTGTAGCAGGCACCTTTATCTCCTGAGACATCTCGCTGGTATAACCAATCACATCTAAAAACATTAAAAAAAAAAAAAAAACTAATGGAATGGTATATTCTTATCAATTTCGTCATTTATACCAAGTGTTGAAAATGTCCTTAAAAGAATATTTCAAGGATATGCAAGTCAAGTAAATTTCTGTAACACAGCCTCAACTTGGTTTATTTAACAAACTATTAAAATGTGAGACCCATTCTTAGCTCACAAGACATGTTTGTTCTGAGTACAATAGTTTGCTGATTCCATGAGTTGCACTAAGTTCATGATTAGTAAATTAATGTTCATTTTATTACACAATATGAGGATATCTACAACATTCCTTGAAAAGGGTGTAACAGAATTATCATCAAACTGGATAATGAAAAAAGACAAAACTCTCTTCCCCAGAGGACAACCAAATACATTTGTACAAACAAGTATAAGGATACACATAATAAACTCATTATTACAATACTATATTAAACAGCATAAAATTTATTCTCATATTACTTTATCATGGACTTCATTCAATAAGATGTTTTCATTAAAATATTGTAACAATTTAGTTATGTGTGGCCATCACTACAAAATAACACTCCCATTTCCCTAAATCTGAGTCAGAAACAAAAAGGAAAAAAAGTAATTTTTTCTATTCTCATGTACTTAATACAACATGATTAAAAAGACCAGCAACCAATTAATTCTAAGCAGATTCTGCAGCAAGCTCAGTTAAGTGTCCTCTAACTGCTCTCTAGACAAAATCTATTCAGTTTAACACTAGTTACCTAGTGAGAACAACAGAACCCACAGGCTCAGTCCTGCGAGCCTGCTCCCATCAGCAGGAAACTATCACCTACACTTCTGACAAATAGTTGTAACTCAGTTCCTGAGATTCCCTGCTCAGGGGCTATTAAATTACTAGAACAGCTCATAGAACTCAGTGAAACACTGCTCACGGCCACTCATTCATTATATAAGTTATTAAAAGGCAGCAATTCACTGCCCTCCCTGAGGACACCACCCTCCAGCAAATTATACATGTTCCAATAACCAAAAGCTCTCAATTCTGTCTTTTTATAGTTTTATGGCACCTTCCACACAGGCATGACTGAACATATCATGGGCCACTGGTTGTTATGGTTTATATATGTGAGATGTCCCTACAGTCTCAATTCTTTGGATAGCTGATCCTCATTGGATGGCACTGTTTAAAGAGGTTATGATTATATGTAGCTGGCTGATACTGGATAGTAGAGGTGGGGCTGTAGACTGTAGCTCCATCTAGCTTCTTCTCTAGCCACTTCCTATCTATCATTTTAAGATGACTAGCCACTTCGGACGCCCAAGGCCATAGGACCCAGTACTGCAATAATGCCTTTTCTGCTATAGTAGACTGTAGTTTCAAAATGGTGATTAAAAAAAAATTCCTTCCTCCTTACTCTGTCAACTACTTTGTTGTAGTAATAATAAAAGTAACTACCATAGCGATCAACTTCCCTTCCCCAGAGAAAGCTTGGCTAAGATCCAACTCTCCAATGATACCTAGGTGTCTGCAGTGGGCAGAGGTCACTCAGAAGCCATTAGTCACTTCATTTGCAAATAAAAGACAACTAAATTCATTCCTGAGGGTCTCTAGTATGAGTTTTAGATATGGCATATATACTATATCCAGTTTAGAAACAAAAGCCAAGGCCAAAAGTAATGTTCATATCTAAGTAAAGAGAGAAGTGAGTTACATTGAGTTATAATCTAGAAACCTCACAGTAGCTCATAGCATCTCAATATCCAATAGACAAGAAAAGGTTTTCTAAATAAGGACTAATGAAAATAGTTTATATTATATAAACAAAATACTTTGTAAAATAGGGAAGGTAATAAAAGAAGAAAGATTATATTAAGATATTGAAGATCTACCTTCAAGTTTCTATTCAACCACATACTAGTTTATATTAACTTCTCAAAGATGATAGTTTTCCCATCTAGCTTTTAGAGAATTAATTAAACATAATAATGAATGTTAAATTTGCTTTATTAACTAAAAAGATTTAATATATAATTGCAACATGCTCTAGTTCAGTGGTTCTCAATCATTAGAAAACCCATACTTCTGATGGTCTTGGGAATTGAGACACTACACAGTGGCAAAATCATGGTTATGAAGTGGCAATGAAAAACTTTCATGGTTGTGGGTTCCTAAGACCATCAGAAATATGTTTTCCTATAATTGTGAACTACATGTTGAGAACCGCTCTATTTCAATCCACACTAACAACATGAATTCAAACTACAGACCATACAGAAAATGAGCACCTCCTATCACACGTATATTTACTACAGGTGCAACATATCACTGAATATTACAGCTTCGAGCTACACTTCACAATATTAACATAATACATTACAAGATTGATACAGGTATATTCAAGTGATAACAACACTCTAAGGTCACCTGAGTGGGGTAAGACACTGCCTGGATGCCTTCGTGTTGCAGCAGCACATGCCTGGCTCTACTCTGTTTCCTCAGGAACTTCTTCTCAATTTTGTTAAGTTTTAAGCCACCTTTATGATTGATGTTCATAGTAATACTGTAGAGAAGAGGGATAAAAAGTGTAAATTTTAAAAGTCCTGGAAAAATAATTATGTTATTCATATTTTCTGTGTTTATAAAATATTGTGTTTTGTAAAAAAAAATTAGTTTCCTTTCAACAACCTAGAAAAGTGAAAATCATTTAAAAAAGTGAAATAGTTCAGAAAGTAAGAGAAATTCATGACAAGTCATCTGTTAGCTTAAGTCCTCCATTGTGATGTAAACTGTGGGAGAGAAAGAATGCCAGCATGTGGTACCTACCCAGGAAATATGAGGGAGAATAAAGGAATGTTCAGTGAGCATTTATGCCTATTATAACCTTAGTGCCCTGACCATACAATTATAACACACTGCATGGTTTTGTGGGAACTTCTAAGTTAGCTGAGCAAAACAAATACACACCAAAAAAAAAAAAAAAAGAAAGAAAAAGAAAATATATGACATATCTTCATATAATTAACTACTAATAGCATTTCTGTTGCTTGTTTCATAACTACAGAGAAAATTAATGTAATTGAAAATATTGGGAAGATTTCAAATTAGAAGGATCAGAACATACAGATTTTTTTTTTTTTTTTTTTTTGGTTTTTCGAGACAGGGTTTCTCTGTGGTTTTGGTGCCTATCCTGGAACTAGCTCTTGTAGACCAGGCTGGCCTCGAACTCCCAGAGATCCACCTGCCTCTGCCTCCCGAGTGCTGGGATTAAAGGCATGCGCCACCACCACCCGGCTAGAACATACGGATTTTTAAAAGGAAGTATTCAGTGAGGTAATAAAAAGCAAAGGATAAACAGAAATGTCCATCAACAGCAGTGAAATATTATAATAAATTGAGTTTTTTTCCTTTCTTTCTCCTTATTTTGTTGTTCTGTTTTGAACATATTATGTGAATAGGGTGTCACATATTCCACGCTGGCCTCCAACTTGCTACAAGGCTGAGGATGACCTTGAACTTCTGATACTACTGCTCTGTATCTCAAACACCTGCTGGCTGGCTGGCAGACATTACAGGTGTGCATCCCACAAGTCCAGCTTATGCTTATTCTTTTGTTTATTGAGATGGTTACTCACTATGCAGCCCTACCTGACATAAAAGTTATCCTGCCTCAGCCTTTGTGTGCTGGGACTACAAATGTGCACACCATGCACATAAATATTTTAGAGCAGCGTTTACTGAATCTCTAGTTCAGTGCTACACATTTCAAAGTTAACAAACAAAATAAACTCAAACAAAATTACGTTTTAAAACAACTGGGGGCACAGTCAAAATTAATTACTAGACTTCATTTAAGGACAGAAGAAAAATGGCATTAGTTCAGTTTCCTAGAACAAAGAGTACTTGTTGGACAGTAAAGTGAGTAAGGCAGGCTGGTTGGACAATACAGGTCAACTGTAATGAGAATGAGAAGACCTGCAATATCCTATCTGCAGCAAGCAGAAATGCTGATCTAATTTACACTGGAGACATAGAAGGAAAAACACAGAGAGGCCGGGCAGTGGTGGCGCACACCTTTAATCCCAGCACTCGGGAGGCAGAGGCAGGCGGATCTCTATGAGTTCGAGACCAGCCTGGTCTACAAGAGCTAGTTCCAGGACAGGCTCCAAAAAACCACAGAGAAACCCTGTCTCGAAAAAACAAAAACAAAAACAAAAACAAAAAAAAAAAAAAAAAGACACAGGGAGAGGGGAGAAAGAAAAAAAAAGTTCCAAAAGATCAACAGATCAACAGGCTTTGGTGATTACTAAGATGTAAACAGAGGAATCAAGGTCACTGCACAGTTGCTTGGATGCACTCATGTGTGACAGGAGTTAGGTCACCACATAGTAGCCGTTATAGTAGTTTAGTGACCTCCAGTCTGAGCACGTTCTCTGTTGGTAAAGAGAGTATAGAGACATAAAGGCTCTGTTACTAGCTAAATACCAGTACATCTTGCTGGATCCTACCCCAACTGGCAACTGTACTGTGCCCATTCCCAAGTCAAAAAAACTGAGAGCTGTGGCTTGGAGAGACAGCTCAGTGGTTATAAACAGTGACAGCTATTCCTGAGTACCTGGATTCAAGTCCTAGCAGCCACATGGTAGTTCACAACCAGGAGATCTGACACACTCTTCTGCCTTCCTTGAGCCCCAGACATGCAAGAAGTGCACAGATACACATGCAGGCAAAACACACGAACAGAAAATAAAAATAATATTTTTTGTAAAAAGCTAATCAATCAACACATATAATGTGAATCTTTTGATTGTAACACACTTATTAGCAAACACTAAGAACAAACCGAAATTCCTATCAAACAAGGCTTCACATACATGTTTTTAAAATATGAGAAATCAATGATATGAGTTGGTTCCAAGAGAAATAGGTACGTGAGTAAGGAAAGATAGTCTTTCCTGGCTTTTGAATTTATAAGCTATCCAAAATGCACTATCTATTTTAAAAGAACACAGAAACAGTTAAGCAATTTTAAAAAATTACCCCATTATTTATCATACCCCTTTCTCACTTTCTGAATTACATATTCTATGTTGTTATTTTTGCTTACACTTGGTGTTTATTATCTTTTCCTACAAGTGCATAGAAATTTAACTGCATGAAGTAGTGATTTAGTAATATTCACCGGGTAGCACTTAGCACTTATACAGGATGTGATACCCAGTAGCAACTCATTAGTTTTTGTTTGTTTGTTTGATAAATGTAGTAGAATTTGCCATTTTAGCTCCTAAACTTCTCTTCTCCAGAATTCTGATTTTGGCAGCCATCTTCAACGATTTCCATAACACTGGATGTGTATCCGGATTACACGAATGTGCTTGGCTCAAACTCTCACTATAGTCTTGGATTCCTGGCATACAGCTTGCAACAAAAACGTTCAGTGGTTATATCTATTTAAGTCTCTCTTAGTGTCCGCATTGTTGTCTAAGTTCTCTGGGATTGTGGTTTGTAGGCTGGCTTTCTTTATGTTTACATGGGAAGTAGAAAGTAGAAAAAGAAAAGATCTCCTGAGTAAATTGTGTGCATGGGGATCTTGGGGGAGGATTGAAGGGGGGAGAGGAGAGGCAGGGAGGAAGGGGAGCAGAGAAAAATGTACAGCTCAATAAATATCAATAAAAAAAAAGTTCAGTGAAATCGACCAAACCACAGGCTGACACCACCCCCACCCTACAGGCAGAAGGGCTGATGAAGAAGCGTGTAAACCGCAAAAACATGGACGAACGTTTACTAGCTTACCTTTGCTTCACAGAATTGATGCTGACTGCAAAAGAACTAGAATCAAGTGCCGGTCTCCAACCACAAAAGCAGCTAACACAGGCATCCCTGGGCATTCATCCCACACCAAACGCATGAACACTAGACCCTACCAGAGCTGCCAACACCGAGGCGTGCCTGGGCCCATAGACTGCACCCTACCCAACCTGTGTGAGCCCACGCTGGCCATGACAACGGACAAGGAGCTACCCTCCGTCACCGCTAAAAACTAGTACCATACTCTTCTTTCTCTCCTCACCAGAGGTTTTTACCTCACCGATGCTTTTCCTCTATCGTCAGCCAGCCCCAATGCAGCGTATAGAGCTACGCAACCGCTCTTACACCACCTCACCTGGGCGCCGCCATGTTGTAGGCAATCGCACTACATTTCCCATGAGCCCACGGGGCTACCACAACGCTCCCACAACACCCTCTCCCGCCCAAAATCTTTTGTTGACACTTTCTCGGCCAAGTGTCTGTAATCTGTTGTGCTGTTTGGCTGCTTTATGTGGGTGGATAGTAATGATTGGAGGAGCACTACAACTGGCACGTTACTAAAACAGCATACTTCCTAAATGCATGCTAAGGATTTGACCCACAGATGAGTATCGTCCTCACCCTTTATCTTTGTAAAAGACCTAGACAGTTGCAGAAAACCACAACTAATCAAGATGAAGATCTGTGAAGGCCAGTGTCAACTGTCGTGTACAATACAATCTTGCACCTAAATCTCAGAGATCTGCAGAGAAAAAGGAGGTAAAGCAAATGGAGAGTCATCCATAAAGTCTCACCAACTAGACTGTCTACATATGAGTTGAACAAAACAATGAAAACAGACATGCTTCTAAGGTCATACAAATAGTTCAGGAGGCCTTAACTCTACACAAAGAACTACAGAAAAATAAGGAATTCTGAGAGCAAGAGAAATAGTCTTTTCCAGGAAAGAGCACACCAGTTGTTATCGAATAATAAGTTGTCAGCCCTGAAAACACTTAAAAGCAAACTATACAAATGTAATAATTTGTATTTATGTATACATGCACAATTAATGTTTGGTTGTTTTTTTTTGTTTGTTTGTTTGTTTTGTTTTTCGAGACAGGGTTTCTCTGTGGCTTTGGAGCCTGTCCTGGAACTAGCTCTGTAGACCAGGCTGGTCTCGAACTCACAGAGATCTGCCTGCCTCTGCCTCCCGAGTGCTGGAATTAAAGGCGTGCGCCACCATCGCCCGGCATGCACAATTAATGTTAAAAGAGGTCTTGAGTTTGAGAGCATGGAGGAGCAGTATAGGAATGGATTTGGAGGGCAGAAATGCATTGGGTAAATCGCATAATTATAATCTTAAAAAACAGAAATAGTAGGGACTCTATAAATGAAGAAGGAGGAGGAGGAGAAGAAGAGGAAGAAAAAAGGAGAAGGAGAGGAAGAAGAAGAGGAAGAGGAGGAAGAAGAAGAGGAAG